TTAAATTGTGGCTACCAACAAATTGCACGCCTGAGTTCCTCTGCACCCCTCTGCTATCATCCAGTGTAATGTGAGCACACCAGGCAGATCCCTCTGTAGATCCTTCTCCTCCCCTGCACAACAGCTCCCCCACACAAAGCCACAGAGACCTCTTTCCACATCCCTTGCCACCAGTCTGGCCTCTAAAGTGGTGATGGGCATTACCGTGGCTGAGCCTCTGTGGCTTCCCATAGCGTCCTGCAAAGTGCTTTGTGCTCCAACTGTTGCTACACACACACACACACACACACACACACTACTCATCTCCTGCACCCAGGGAGGACTAAAACACAGGGGGGAAATGCCTTTAGAAACAGGAAGATCAATGACATCACTCGATTTGATAACACAATACTTGAACTTGATATTTACTGATAATGTCAGAAAGCCACTGGCAGACAAAACCAGTGAACTCTTTATGGATGTAACTTAAAAACGTACAACCCCTTTTTTTAACATGTAGAGCTCACGGAAAAATGAAATATCACACTTTATAGGAACTAGAAAGGACAACAAAAGAAGAAAAAAAACCCACAGATGCTGGTAGTGATGCAAATAAACACACTTTAACAGGTCTTTTTAATGGTCTAAATGTGTTTGGGGGGCGGGGTGGGGTGCACAGTTAGTAAACCATGAGATGACAGATGATGCATCCTAGTATGCTGCTGGGACAGGCCGAGCCATGTTGACATAAAACCCAATACTTCCTTACAGAGGAACGGGGCCAGCTTCAGCTAGCTCCTTGCCGAGCACTAAAAAATCCCAGCAAGCTGAAGCAATATTATCCAGTTTTGTGTTTCTAACATTAGATTTGTCTCTCCGTAGAGGTCCTCTCTTATTTACCCAAGAGCAGCAGCTAAAGACACATTTTTATCCTTTTTAGGCAGAATTAAGGAATAGAAAGTTAAGGAAGCCTTCCACACACAAAAAACAGTAATACACACTCGCATCTGCCTGCAGAGCCGCCTGTGAAGCACTTTAAAATACACAAGGACAGTCTTTAACTGCAAAACTACCCAGCTGCGCTGGCAGCACAAAACATATCCTGGTGGCTTTTTAAAAAAATTATTTTTATTTCTTTATTTTTTAAATGTTTGCTATCCATATAGTGAGTGTTCACAAGTGCCAGGCCACACGGGAGTGTCCTTGTGAGTGTAAAACACACACACGCACACAAAATGGGTGAGCTAACATAGAAACCCAGCCGTCAGCATCTATCCGGCACACACACACACACACACTGCTGCCGCTGCTGCGTCCCAAGCACGGCTAATTAAAAAACAACAATTTCACAGGAGGGCGCTCCAAACTGTTCTAAAAAGCACCTCTCAGCACACCGGGGGATCGTCCTGGAATACATGGGAGGTAAGACCGGTTTTGGGAGCTCTTCTTTTATGGCTTCATCACCGCTGTGTTTTTCTACTGCTCATACTACCGTGACCTGAATCAAATTTAGCCTCCAGCACGTGAGGTAAAAGATTTTAAAAAAAAAATAAGCAGGCTGATGTATTTGGATGGCTTAGAAATGGAACATTTTAAAATAACATGTTGCTAGACAATAAAAGTTTATAGAGCATGAGGAAAAAAATCCACTATGAAATGAGAGGTTTTTTTATGCATCAGCGGCACCCAAAAGTAGGCGGCGTGGTGTATAATATAGTTAGTTAATGTTATGTTTTGTAGATGGAGCCTATGGCAGTTTCTAACAAGACAGTCCATTACAGGGGTGTTGTCCAACACTTGGGTTCAAATGATAAGCCTTATTACACGGCTGCTTTCAAAGCATCTGCTCGGCTAGAAGAAAAGGCCGCCCCCCCTTGGGGAAAAGATCTCTCTCTTTCTAATGATGTATAATTGACCTCCGAACACCAGGGCACAACAAACTCGGTCGGATTGGCCCGATTACACACTACCTTTCACATACCGCGTGTCTCGTTTGAGCTTGTTGCTCCTCCACGACTACACCTCTCGTCCAACTGACAGCTCTTTGCCCTCAAAATATTCTTACCGTACATACATTACATTTAATTTTTCTTTTTACCTAACACGTCGACGGCCGCTTTAGGACTCTTAATACCATCAAAAATATTCCTCATTCAAAAGAAATAACAAAACAGATAATGGCGAGCACAGGTCAGTTACACACACACACGTGCATGTGCAAAGCCAACATATGGGAAAAAGACTAATAAAATCCAATCTTGTTACTATATAATTGCACTATATGGAGCAGGTTGTGTTGAACTGGGTTGGTGGGAGTTTTAATAATACAGTACACAATTGTTTTCCCCCGTCTGCACTTAAACCTGTTCCAAAGGTGTGAAAAAAGACTGCTTGCCAATTCCTTGATTTATTATAGCTAGTGAGAGCTGATTACGGGGCATGAATCAGTTGCTGTAGGAATGTTATTAGGCACGTAGACCTCTGTATGGCTAGGAGCTCTCTTCGCAGCCCAAAGCAGTTTGTGGGCTGAGAAATGCATCTTAAATGGATGTCATAAAAGTCAAAAAGGTGCCAATTACATCTTTAAGTATCCCATCAATGCAAATGGAATAAACAACGTTAAAAAAAGAAAAAGAAAAAAAAGGCAGGGACTATATTTGTGTCGGTGTCAAAGACCAAAACCAAACCTGGGAGGAGTTAAAACAAACAAGCAAACAAATAAACAAAAAAGGAGGTGGGAGAAGAATAAAAGACGTGATGAATAATAGCGTGTGAGAGCAGGACGGCGCCCAGCAGGTTGTTGCGTTTGGCTGCAGTGATCAGCTTTGCCACACAAGCTCACCAGGCAGAGAGCGAAAAAAGAGGGAAATGGTCAGCTATATTCCAAATATGGTTCCTCAAGAGCATATCAGAAACTAAACGCCAGGCAGTAGACACTATCAGGCAGGCAGACAGAGCCTGCCAGTCTTGGCACGTCTGTCTTTATCTCTTCTTTTTACACACACCGAATTCATTTCAGAAATTCTCCAAATGGACAACGCTGAAGCAGGCATGAGAAAGAGATCCCTTCTCCCTCTCTCTCTCCCTCTCTCTCCCTGCCGGACTGTCTCAACTTCCAGGCACCTCTGAGCCGTGACGCCGTGACTCTGGTATCCCCTAGTTACTGCTATGAATTTTCCATTGTTATCAGCCGACTACACTCCTGTCACAGAGCTGGATGAATGGCACGCATGGCAATAGATGTAACTCTTTGTTGCTTGCACGGTATCTAACAGAGAGCCATAATGTCCCGGTAATCGAAGTAGAATTGTTAAAAAGGCCGGACACAAAAAGCTGAAAATTTAGTGACAAGCATGAAAAGCGCTCATGCGATGAGAAACACAGGCCACCCCAGGGTCCTCATAGGCCAAACAGCAACCCTCACTATTGTAATACTTGTGTTATTTAAGCTCACTATTTGCTTCCCTATATCTGCCATCTCTGCTGGTTTGTTATAATTTACTGATTCCATTCACTAATTTATTCTGCTTCACAGTGAATGCTCGTCCTGCTTTAAGTGTTTGCATGGGAAAAATTTAACACCTGCAATTTAACTTACATTTTTTAAAATGATTTCTGTCTTATGCCTGAATTAAAACATAAAGCTATTGTAGCTTTTAATTAAAAAAAACAATGGGACAATTCCTTGTAGTTTTAAGACTGTACTAGTCTAATTGCACAAAAAATAAATACAATTCTCCTTTATTTTAAAAAATATATATGAGCATTAGCTGTAATAATAATTATGGTGTTTTATTTTCTCAAGCAAATGTCCAGATGAACAGTCTGCACTCAGACTGCTGATGTAATGCCGCAGTATAGCAATTTAACTTACAGCCATTTTTTTTATTGTAATCATTATTATTATTATTATCATTATTATTTAGATATTTGGAAAAGCTGAAAATTGAATGATTACACCAGATTTATACATGCATGTATATATAATTTTATCTATGCACTTCGAATCGCGCTTGTGCACATGGCCGAACTTTTAATTATAACCTCAGCTTTGCAGGTTGGTGTAATTCTGTGCAATATTTTGCGCATATTGCTTTTCAATAAACGGTTAAATTGTTGCCATGTATGGTGACGCCTGCCACGCATTTCTAATAAACCAAATAAGAATAAGAAGAGTTGGAACAACTTAAAACGGTAATAATGATATTATTATTATATTATTATTTTAACTAGTAAAATCTGATTACATCAATGAAAAAAAGTGATTTAAAGAATGAAGGAATATGAGCTGATCGGAAAATAAATCGTAAGAGCGCCGTAGTCTCAGACTACGTTTTCCATATTTGAAAAACTCTGAAGCGGCTGCTGGTAAAGTGAAAATGTATGACAATAAGCGGAAAAAATAAAAATCAAGACTGCACCACGCCTGCATATTCTCGGGCCTGAGTGGGATCGCATCTTTTTGCTATAAATGCATCCGCTGCGAAGAGACAAACGTGGAAATATCGTGGGCCAGTGTGACAATAATAAAGCCAAGTACACGACAATAATATATGACCGCTAATGGGAGCAGCCGGAGTGCGAGTCTGAGCACTCTTATAATATTAAATATATATTTTTTCTTAACAACGAAAAGACATTTGGTTTAATTCCGTTTTCTCTTTTTTAAATATGCATTTTACATGAAGTAAATATAAACCAACGGAGGAAGGAGCGATGGCAACAGGTTAGTTTAAGTCTCCTTATTTCCACGGTTACATCTTTTTAAAAATTCAAATAGCATTTTATACTACAGCTGAATGACGTTTCAGGTGCACTTTTGCGCACAGGAGGCCTCCGGGTCAGGTCAACAGAAACCACCCAATGTACCCATTTTTGGAAAAAAAAAATGATTAAAAAAAAAAATCACTGAATCACCAAAACAATGCGAAGAAATGCACACAAAGAGAGAGAGAGAGAGAGAAAGTGAGACAGAGAGGGAGGGAAAGCGAAAAGTCCTTCCCGGAAACTGTGCTTACTGTTGGTAGTCGTGTTTGCAGTAAAGTTTCCTTTCTCTGAAGTAACAGCTGTTGGTGAGGGGCTGTTGACACACGGTGCACTGCAAACACTCTTCATGCCACGAGGAATCGTTGACTCTCATCAAGAAGCGGTCGGAGATGGGACGCTGGCATCCTTCACACACGGATCTGTGATGACATTCAGTCCCTGGAAAAGGGCACAAGAGTTTCCCGTCAGAAAGAAAGGAAATAGGCCTGAATCAAGGACTGCAATAAGTGATAACTGATAAAAGCCCCCAAATCATTTCAGATATTGCCAGTCTGTTTGAAGAAATCCGCTGAGGTTTAAGATATTATTATAAAGGAACCTGGTTGTAATTGATTTTATTTACTCTTCATATAAGGCCCGAATTACGCCATCATCCAGACTGCAACAATAATAGTAATATATATAGAGAGACATTTTTAAAGGGGCTATTTCTCTTTATCTGGATCTGTTATTATATCCATTTGCACGCATGAGTGCGACCTTTCGTCGGTTTTGCATACTTTTGAACTGATATCAGGAAATAAACAGCAGTGTGGGCGCATGCATAGAAAAGAAAATGAAATATTATAATGACATCCAAACACAAGGGAGCGTTTGATCGCGCAGATCAGAGTAATTTACACAACAGAAAAAGAAAAAGAAGACTCACCGAGCATAACTCCGAGTGTGGCTTGTCCCGATCGCAGGGGATGATCTTCTATTTTAATGCCGTCTAGCATGATGCACGTCTCGGACTGTTCACCCGCGGAGAGGCGCTCCAGTGACACCAGACCTGTTGCAATATCCATAAGAATACGGTCAGACGTGACAAGAAAATCCCGGGCACACAGAGCTGATCGGAGGGGGGAAAATGCTGTGTAGGAAGCCGTCTGAAATCCGTGTGGGATACAGCCTGCAGCTCGGAGGAGGACAGGGGAAAATAAACTAAACTGTGAGGAGGAAAAACTCGACTTTGAGCTCGCAATGGCTAAAAGGTAAAGGCAGTTAAAAGCTGGCTATGTAAATCCCTGATGTGTCAGAGAAGCGTGCAGGAAGACAAAGCTAATAAGAAACTGTGGAAACTCTCTGAACAGTCACCTGTTATGATAAGAGGACCGAGGAAGCTTTATCTTCTCGTCCCTAAGCCGACGGGAGAAGTCTGGAAAAATGTCTTCACGGGATTACAGTCTCGCCAAGGAAAAAAGCGCAGAAGTAAAAGTTGAGAACAAATCCAAAGATAGTATAGTGTGTGTGTGTGTGTGTGTGTGTGCGTGTGTGTATGAATGTGTGTGTATGTAGGATGTCCCGGCAGTAACTCTTTGGAAGTAACAGAGACGGTTGGTTGGTTGTGCCCCTGTCGCTGCAAAAGTCTGAGATCGAGATTGAAGCGAGTAGATCCTCCCACTCCTGCATGCATGGCTACACTTTTTTTTTCAGTCCTCCATTCACTGCTATTGGGATGCTATTGGAGCAGAGTACAGTGAGCTCCACACAGTCCAATAACAACACACAGACAGGCAACCTAAAGCAGACAGCCCAAAGTGATATTTTACTGTGGCCTGACCTGCCATCATAGCAATAATAACAACAACAACAACAATAATAATACAGATAATAACACAATTGAAGTATTATTGCATTGTGTGGTGGATTAAATAATGCGCCTTTTTGATGCCATAAAATGCCCTCCGTGGACTTAGTGGACATTTGTTATATACTGTGAAAAAAAATGCATATGAATTTAGGCAGTGTGTGTATGTGTGTGTTTGTGTTTCCACGCTCTTTTGTGTATTGTCTCCAGTGGAAGCTGCTGTTGCCTTTCAGCTGATGCACCTGGCGATCAGTGGCGATAACAGCGGGCTGTCCAGCACGGAGGTCGCCTCTGCCAACCACAGCTATTCATCTTAAGGAAGGTCAGAGAGGAAATATAATAAATAAATAAATAAATAATAACTGACACGATCTTCCTGACAATAAATACAACCTTCTTATTTAAGAACTGGTCTTTATTTTAATTTTATTATTATTAATATTATTATTTGATGTGAGGATCCCACAGCAAAATAAAACGAACCCCCATATTACAAATACTTGAAATTATCAGTTTAAAAAAAAATCCACGTGCTTTTTAAGGTACATTAATAAAAACCCACGAATTCAGATTTCACAAATAGAAAAAAAATCAGACATCAGAAAAAAAATCCTTCGTCAAGGTGCGATCAAGATGTTTAAAAATCTGCGGAGGGGTACCCCAATGCACTGAGGCCTGCCTGAAATTACAGGGCTGCTAATGAGATCGTCCACTGTGTCCCGTGACACGCTGCGTGGCACAATGTAATATACTTCTATAGCTACACACCCGGGGTAGGCAAAAATAAGAGTGGACACATGGAGAAGGCCGGGGGACAGTAAATATTATATTATAGTAAATATTATATTTATATTATACTGGGGTGAGCTATAGCTTTTTGTGGACTTTATTTAAAGTGTCATAACGGTTCCACGTAATAATAATAATAACAATATATTTTTAAGTAAACTGTGCAAAAACACAGGTATTTTTTTACATAATTTAATGTAATATTTCCTCTCAGGAAAAAAATGGACGCTTAAAAAAAATCATATGTCAGTATATCACATCTCCACAGCCAGTGTTTACCTTCAGTCCAAAGGCCTGCTGTGTGTTGTTTCTTACAGCCTTTGTGAAGCATCAAGGCGATGACCTGTAGCCCAGTTTGGGGAAACAGAGAAGAGATTGTTGGCGTTGCCCTCTGCTGTTCAACAAGAGAACAGCTGCCGATCATAAAACACAGGCACAGAGAGGAGATTTCACCAACGGTGGCAGTTTTAGATGGATTTAACCATCGCAGAAATGTTTACAGCACACCGAAATCTAATATAAATATTTAAATTCGTTGCATTTCTCATCGGAGGACTCGTGTTCTTGCTAAAATGAGGACATACCTGCCACTCATGAAGTCATCCACCCCCGGTTTGCTTGGTTTCCTTCCAGCGCTTCTATCAACATGGGGTCAATTACCTCCGCCCACTATATTGGATTATCTTACCACTAAGCAGCATTAGGAGCGGAGGACTACCAATACAATATAATCAATACATTTAAAGAAAAGGAAAGGAAGAAAAGCATGTGATACCTCTCCTCCCTCCATTCATTTAGCAGTTATCGGCCAGGTCACTCGCGTGAATGAGGACATCAAACATTCATTCAATAAATCAATCCGCCGACTTTCAGCCTGCGGTGTTTTAATGAGGCACTACATGACAAGCCCTCCCTCGCCTTCCAGGGCGGAAAAAAAAACGTTGCAGCAGGTGTGCAGAACAGAAAGCAATGGTCCCTAAAGTTAGGCAATTTACTTTAAGCTAAGCAGAACTGTTACGTCCATCGGAAAGGTAAGAGATCATTATAATGCGCCCTCAGAGAGGCTAACGTTCCTGCAGGAGTTCGCTGTAATTCTGGTTTCAGGCTTCACTTAATAATTCTGAAAGTAAAAACATTAAAAATAATAATAATAATAATTTTAATAATAATTTTCATTTCAATTGGGGAAGTAGCAAAAACGTGATTCTACACTGGAATTATCGCGGAAGGAAAGTTTTTTTTCTTCTTTGAAGCAAAACAAAACTGCGGTTTTTGCGCAAACTTTTGCCTTCTATAAAGTCAAACTTTTCAATTTCATTAAGGCAGAATTAAAAAAAAAATGTAAGGAAAGTGCATAAGGAAGAAAGGAAATAAATACAGCCCACTCGCAGGAGTAAAATTAATGTATCATAATTAATCAGTGTAGGCCGATTAAAAAAAACTGAATTGAAAGCCTACTGCAGGAAGGGGAATGAAATAATTACGATAATTTCATCAAATTAAAACACCGTTTTAAATTTAATAAAACTGAAATATGGGCACAAAAAATACGGACAATCGTTCTGCTTTAATTACATTTACACTGCGGTGTGTTTTTGGGAGGCACTCACAATTCATTCAGTTTCCAGCTCAGAGGATAACTCCAGCAGTGCCCGGCCTGCTCTGCTTAAACCCGGAGGCTACAATCAATGCAGCGACGCAAAGTCTCAGAAAATCACCTTTAAAACGTAAAACTATAATCCATATCACCCCGCATGTGTGGGCCGGTAATACTGCGCTGCATACAATACTGCTCATCTAATCCCATTATAGGCTCATTTATACTAAAAAGCTCATATTATTAATTATTCCTAAAACAAAGCTCGCCGATAAGATTTTTTTTTCTTTTGAAAAATAAATAAAACACCTCAGCGAAAATGGGACGAGCATTTCACATCCTCAGAGGTAGCAAACCAAAGCCATAATGGCTCCCTAAATTGCAGGGCTTGAAGACTTTGATAGTTAACTCACTTTGATCTTTTAATGAGTCTAAGCTCTCCACGATGCCCCCTTTTTTTTAAGCTCGAATAAAAAAAACGCTCTCACACACACTTCCTTTATTTTTTTTGTTGTTGCTGCCGATCTGCACTTCAACACCTACAAAACCTTCACATTGTGCAGCAGCGGGCAGTTTCTGAGCCTAGAGAGATTCAGCGAACTGGGGGAAGAAATGTGTCATATTCTTCTTTTGTCTTCCGTGGGCCATTACTGTGGCTGTGACAGAGTTTCAGAGGGAGATCACTTAAAAAAATTTTTTGTTGTTTTTTCTTCCCATCAAGTCAACGGACAGGCTGAGCCTCGTGGATCAACAGGGATGATTATTATAAAGGTTTGAGCGTCAATTTCCGAACAATCAGCGGTAAATTAATTTGGGATACTGAATGTTTTCTGCACTTCTTCGTTGGTTTCATGGGCTAAAAAAAATCATGCAGCTATAATGTGATTTCAGACAGTGAACAGTCAGTAAACCACTGTAACAACAAACAGTGAGACAGCCCAGGGCCCCATCGGCCTGTGAGAGCCGGGATATAGGACTACTAAATTTACCTCGCTTTTAAATATTTATTTATTTATTTATTTGCATTTTACATGCCATTATTTTAAATACTATTCTTCAAATCGTTGGTGTACCATGCAGGATAACAAAGGAGTCATTTGAACTTTCTTTCTACCCACTCTGTGTCACATTTTCCCGCTTTTTACTCCACATTGAACCACACGGCCTTTCTTATTTTATTGAGGCAGCCCCGCCATCACCACCACCCCCCAAAAATGATAGCCCACTGCAGGATAATCCCAGCTCCCCGAGGATTAAGTCAAAGTATAATACAGCACTGTCAACTCATGGCTAGATTTGTTTATGTTATGATTTATTGAATTCTGCTTTTTTTTTTTCTCTTCCTCCTCCACTGACAAATTTATTGAGTTCCTGACAAATGGCCTGACAGGCCCGTGTGGCAGCAAGCTGACATACAACTTTTTTTCTTTCCTTTTTAAAA